GAAGGATGGGATTCTCCACCCAGGCTGGACTGGGTTGTTTTGGCCTTTTGTGCAACATAAACACTGGTTTTTATCAGACAGTGTTTGGTTTTCAGTCTAGAGTGGTGTCAGCACAGACCTTAATTAAATTGTGGCTTTTTGGGTAAAATTTATATATCTGGGAACACATCACTTTCTGTGGGGCTCTAAATCCTCCTGAATTGTTGGTTCTGTGGGGCAGAGCTGTGCTCTCACATCGCCAGAGCAATCTCCAGGCACAACAAGAGTGTGATAGAAATAATAAATAAACTAATAAATCAGTTTTCCTCGGCTCTCACCCCTTAAATTGGGGTCAGAAAGAAAAGCCATTGGTGGCAGAAGCAGTGAGGAAACTGCAATCCCTGATGTCCCACGAGGAGCACGACTTAAAATCACATTTGGCATTTAATTTAGGGAGTACAGAGCCAGTGCAGAAGGGAGATGTGTCAGGCACACAATTAACTCTGATAGGAGGCTCTCAAACCAAGGGGCACCTCAGGGAGTGATTTGTCACCACCCTCCCAGAGGGGATCTTTAATTGGTGTGTCATGACACCAAATCCATGACAATTGTGTTATTCCTGCTGTGGGCCAGGGAACCCAAATAAGGGGAACAAAAGCTCCTGGAGGAATCCCACAATATTTTAAAAAGTTCCATCTTTCCTCCTTCCTGTTAAAATTGAGGAACTCTTTCCACAAACCCACTTTTTGTGATTCTTTCTCTCTTGTTCAGACAGAAGTGTGGAAATACATCAGATTGTGGATGTGGGACTCCTTCAAAGCCACAGGGAAAGTCCTTGTCGAGTGGAAGTAGTATTTAATGTTTACAATATTATAAGCAAGCAGTAATTGTAGTGTCTGTGAACATCTGTACAACAGTTATGGACAACTGTGGAGCTTATGGACATCTAGCTGAATATTCATTTACATGATATAAAGTTTACATTTATTTAAGATAAAGTTTGTTTAATCTAAAGCTCCTGTGCTGATCACTGGTAGGTGATACACACTCAGGGTGTGCAGGCAGGGCTCCATAAGGCACCAAAGGGTTTCAATTCCTGATAAATAAACATGGAAATAAATGATGGGACCAGCTAATTGGATTTGAGATGGTGGAAAGGGACATCAGATGTTTTCTTGATACAGTTGTGTCATGT